ATTATATCTTGTCGTTGTTTAAGTTGGCGTATGGCTTGTCGTTCTGTAGCAGTAAGGTTATCATGAATAGTGTTGGGTTTACCTGTGGTTATGTCAAGTTTAACAGCGTCTAAAAAGGTGTTTAGGGCTCGTTCTCTGTCGTTGGGGGGGTTCCAAGTACTTTTGTTATGGAAAGGAGTGTCGTGTTCGTTAGCTGTGGGGGTATTGCTGTTTTCGTCAAAAAAATACTCGGCTAGTCGCATGCGTCGTGAAAAGTCGTAAATGTCGGCTGAAACTTCTGACCAGTTGATATGTCGTGGTGTAGGGCAGAATGTGAGTCCACGTGAAAGGACAGATATCTCGTCGGTAGATAAAGAGCAACTGGAAAGATTAATGACAGAAGAATGATCTAGCTGGATGTTGACAGGTTTGGTTTTGCGGCGAGAACGCTTGCGTGTGACAGTTGAGTTGGAGGCGTTAAGTGTAACATTAGATGGTATGTCATTATCACTGGCATTAGGGTTGTTGACCTGTTGATTGAGGTTATTATCGGTGAAATTGTGGTCAATAATACCGCGGAAGCGAGCGGTCTTTTTGGCCGATTAGATCACTATTGATCCAACGTATACCAGCAGGATCATCGTTCCGGTTGCTTGTTTAAACATTTTATAGTCTTTGGTAAGCCCCGCGCTCAGCCGAGAGAGAATGAGTACGCCTGAGCCCGAACAAGGCTGGTTTGGATGTGTGTTCCCTGTTTCCTTTTTTTTTCTTTTTTCTTTTTGCCTTCATTCTGTTTATTTTGCCTATTTACTTGACGCGTATAACTTACTTGCCTTTTTACTTACTGATAGTGTCTTGGCAACAGTATTAAATGCATGTTTTTGCTTTGAGATCTGATTGGCTAATTGGTCCTTATTGGGGAAGGGACTGCACGCTAACTCGGTTGTTCCCATGTAGATCAACAGCGCGGGAAAAGATAACAATTTGCATGACGTTGAATGAAAACTCATAGATTTGAAGACGTTTTTTTTTAGCTAGTTTCCATCATGTAAAATCTTGCAACATCGTGCAAACTCGAATTGGCCCGACAACAGGCCAACCAGCGAAGACTGTCCACGGCGAATTTTAGCACGCCAAGTTGATGATATCTCGAAGATTTCGACTCGAAAAGAAACAAACGGTATTAGGAAGCTTAAGCAAACCACGACGACGACGGCAACGAGAATGACACCAAACAAGAGATTTAAACTGCGCAGTCTCAGCACCCTAATGTTTATAAACATTATAAGTGCTCACTCGATGGACTTGAATCCGAATCGATGTTATTCGGTACGAACCACATACCTTATCTTTGAGGCTTTTCAAATTCTTTTCCAACAGTTTCATTGATTTTTATAGCTGCGAAGTTGTTTCATCAAGTGATATGAGAGAGAATGAAGCATGAAGCTTCGACCGCTTCGCATCCATAATGTCGGTTGTTTTTAAACTTTGAATTTACTTCGTGTAAGTAGTCGCGAAATGTTTACATTTTGTGATGTCTTACATAAGACAAAACAAAAAACGCAAACAAACTTTCGAGAATGCGCAGTGCGGACTGGAAATCATTTTTAATGAGCAAAACAATAGCTGTGCACGTGCGTGTACGTGGGTGCTTTGTACATTTCTTTGCCGTCTTTGCACAGCAACAACGTGAAATGACTGAGTTCTGTGTAGTCCGAGGAACGCGAACCACGATGGCTAATTTTTCGTATTATCCATTTGGAACTGATCGCTGTCATTGCATATTTATCCTTACCACGTTTTAAGAGCCATTGGCGTACTGAACAGATCTAGACAATTACGAATTTCGTTGTTTTGACTAGGTGTCATCCTTGGCGTGGCCGTCGTTGTTACCTAACCTCCCTATTGAGGAAGACATTCTCTGATAAAAAAGAAAAAAACAAAACATCCGTTCATTACCTCACGCTTCATAGAAGTTTTGGCGATATCGCACTCAGGTAGCGTCCACTCTAAGCTGGAAGAAACGCAGCTTTATTTTTACGGCTAGGCCTACCGTCCACACTAACCCGTCACGAAAACGGAGCTTTCCGAAAACGCTCTTCAAACCGGAAGAATTTGAAAACGCCGGATTTTCGTTTTCGTGTGGACGGAAAACATTTTGAAGACGGAGCTTTTTGGAAAACACGACTTCACAATAATCATGTGGCTCCATGTGATTTTCGTGACCAAGTTTTCCTCGAACACAAATCCAAAATGACTGGTTATTGTGGCGTTTTAAAATTCCTCCGGCGTAGTGTCGGCGGAAAAAAGTTTATGCGTTTTCAGAGTTAAACCTCCGGTCCTAAATTCTCCGGCGTAGCAGTGCATGTGGGCCTCGAGGGGATCACGCTGAAGTTGCAGCTGGTTACCGTCAGTACGGATACCTTCTCATTTCTATGACTTATATATGTTAATACAGTTGTTATGAGTTGTGTTATTGCAGGCAGCGACAGGCCTTACAATTTAGGACTCAAACATGTAGGCGCATAGGTACATTCAGTTGAACCAGAAGGGTAACATCCCTTTATTGAGAAAATGTAGACTGTTCGAAACAGTTTTTTTTTATATATCATGAATAGGTTACTCAGACGACACTTTATTTTCATAAACATCAAACCCCCGATCAAAACGTTACCATACTGAGGTAACAACCTGTCAATCTTTCGTTTTCATATTGCATATGGTACGCAATATGAACAGTTTTAGCCTTTTATCTAAAGTAAGGTTTTCTGTTCAACAATTACCCACTGAGAAAATAAGGGATGTGTATACGTGCAGTGAAAGCCGTGAGTTTTGTGCTCACTAAATAGCTAGACAGGGATTATTTCAGCGAGGACAAAATAAACAGGAAATTGCAGGAGATTCCGAAACCAATTCTGAATGCGGAATTTTACTTGACTGTTTACGCGCTTTGGGGAACTAAAAACAAAATCGCACACGTTCTCACTTTGTTTCCCTCTACAGCCATATTTACGAATGAAAACGTTAAATTACCTTATTTTACTTAACATAATACTTTTATCTGACAGCCAAGTAAGCGTCGGAAACACTGAATTTGTTTTCAGTTGAAAATGTTTGCGTAAAAGCGTACTTGCTTTCTGCTTGTAATCCACTTCACTGCAAGACAAAATCGAACGAGGTTTGATGCTTAAGCCTTAGAGTCAATTTTAAACACTTTCACGATAAAGCACTACGCTTAAAAATTTGCTTTTGAATAGTTCTAAGTCCCCCCACTAATTATTATTTCATGAACAAGTTAGCAGCTTTAATTATTGAAACATCTGGAACGGTGGGGAGTAAACGAAACAAGCGTTAACGTTGTGTGTATTTTTTTCGGCAGGAATTCATCGATCTTAGTGTTAGCGTTTTTGGTCTCTTCGCAAGAAATATTAGTGACGCACCCCTTGTTGTTACTTCTTCCAACAAAGACAGAGCCAAGATTTATTAACGGTTTGGTCTCAGTTTAAATTGTGGCGTGATGCAAATGAGCAGAAAATAACTTAGAGTTTTTCATATACGATGTCTATTGATTATCGTTAAATTATCAGCAAACCCAGCATTAATATTTTGCGCAGACTATTTATCATGAACAAAAGTGACGTAAATAAACAACTACTGCATTTAATTTTTGTCATTTTGAGCTAATATATAAAAAGTGATTTATCTTTTGCATGCACCATGAGTGGAAATAATGAATAATTCGAAAAAGATCTTTAAAAAAACATCCATGTTTGGTTTTCGACCTGATAAATATTCCTTTTAAGAACACTCACGTAGCGATAAGTCATATATTTATTCCAATGTTGGTAATTGTCGCGGCAGACACACAGCGCCAGTATTATTCACAGAATTTAATAATATTTGGTCACTTTGTCGGCTTTTTTAATGTTAAACTTCGCTTAAGAGATGAGATCGCGCGTCAGAAATTGTAAATAATTGATTGTTTTTCATGCCAACTATTCGTCTTTATTGACGTTTTAATTCAAACTCTTACTGAAGAAAAATTTGCCACAAGTGTGCACGCCATGAAAGGTAGACATGCATCGCCAATTGATGGACACAGCGGCTGAAAAACAGATGAGATAAAGTGTTGAGACATTTCGTGAAATTAACAGGAACATCTTGGACGTCTGTTGTGGCAGATCAAGAGAGGCACAACCATGGCAGATCTTCAAAGTGCTTTTAAACAGCCTGTGCAATATATTTAACAGTGTAGAACGCTTCCCACATGCTGGACTGAAGGAATATAAATGAATCAAACATGCCTGCTTCAAATGGTTGTTCGATAATATCACAACCCAGTAAACCTATCAATGACCGCGTGAGGATCAATGTTAGTGGCACAATGTTCGAAACGTTAGAAGAAACCTTATCGAGGTTTCCAGATACACTTTTAGGCTGCCCTAAAAAGCGCGTTCAGTATTTTGACGCCAAACAAGATGAATACTTTTTTAACCGAAACAGACTGGCTTTTGATGCAATTCTTTTTTATTATCAGTCGTATGGAAGGCTCGTAAGACCTGACGTGGTTCCGGAGAATGTTTTTATTGAGGAAGTGCGCTTCTTTCAGATACGAAGCAATTACACGTCAACCAGGGATAAGATCGAGAGGGCTCTTCTAGACAAAGATGAAGATCTACCTCAGAATGTAATACAACGCAAGGTCTGGTTGTTGTTTTCTCACCCAGAATCATCTTATCCAGCTAAAGTTCTGGCCGTTTTGTCAGTCGTCATAATCCTTCTTTCAGTTATCATACCATGTTTTGAGTCATCGGGGGAGCTTGCAGTCAACAATGATGTCTTTTTCTCGTCGCTTGAAATGGCTTGCTATGTGTGGTTTACGTTTGAATTAGCGGTTCGTCTTTCCAGCGCGCCGGATAAACTTCGATTTTTTCGCTCAGCACTTAACATTGTGGATATAGTCAGCGTGGCACCTTACTACGTTCTACTGACAGTGCAAGGTACACGCGCGCCGCTTTCTGTTCTCCGCGCCGCGAGAATGCTACGCGTTTTACGTATTTTCAAACTCACGCGTTACTCTAGCGGCATGCGCATTTTGTTTTTCACGTTCGCTACGAGCATGAAAGAGTTGGGAATGTTTTTGATTTTCATTTCCATAAGTGTTGTGGTATCGTCAAGCGCGGCATTTTACGCGGAAGCAGGTTGCGGAAACAACTGCGCATTTCTAAGCATCCCCGACGCGTTTTGGTGGGCAGTGAATACGATTACCACCGTTGGCTACGGAGATCAGTATCCTTTAACCGCCAGTGGCAAAATGGTGGGTTGTCTCTTGACTGTGTTTGGTGTATTGATCATTGCTCTTCCCGTCTTTCTTTTTGTGGCGAATTTCAACAAAGTCATGAATGCGAACTTGGCGGCAGTCGATAAAGGAAAAAAAAGCCAGTTTAAGTAACATTTCGTTCCTAACAAGCACTGAATTGGCTTTTTCCATTCGAACGTTTTTGAAAAACACGCGAAATTTTTATTAAAGAGAACGTCTGTGAAGCTTTTGTTAGAATAACTTTTTAATTATAATGTTTTGCTCCGACTGACAGGTGTGCGTAAAACGTTTCCAATAAATAAATACATCCTGCTATTGACTGCTTTCTCCCAATGACAGAAATGTTCAATAACCATTACCATCAAAGCCTTCCGCTAAATGGCTTTATCTGCCCATGCAAACAAGCTGACTGTTATTTATTTTCTCAGTGATCGATGGTGACTTTTCTCAGTCATGGATTGAGCTCCGGGCTAAACTAGCCACATCTTCTATGCTCGCCCCAGATTCTCCTCGGCATTCGAATCCAGTCGAGCGGCTGGATGGAATATCGCGGCCATCTTTTAAAATTTGATCGATAGTCGAGGGCAACCTGAGGACTAGATTTTGAAGGATTGTGGGAAATATGTACAAATGCGTGATTTTCTTTAGTTTGTAAAGTTTTCCTCACAACTTGGAGACCTTCAAAACCTAAACAGGCTAGTTAACACAGTCGATCAAAATTCACTGGGCGTCATACCAAACTAAGAAGTTAGATCTTAACGCATATTCATGGCCTGTAAACATCTGAATCATAACATAATCAAAATTAATTTTACACTTAGCGCCAGCCAGTTGATGCACGTTAATAATATGATACACAAATAATCATGGGACAGATGCATATAAAGCTAATTTCAAGGTGGAACAACTTGGTATTTCGGTATGACTTAAGGTGGCTGAACACAGTTTTTGATAACTGTGTTTCATTCACCTTTTTCTCTAAAACCCTTGATCTCTCGGTCGCCAAAAATGGTAGCAAGCAAGTTAACAACACAAACTTTGGTTTTCTGATGGTTAAGCTGACGTATGTGCCGTTGCCATGGCAACACGAATAAAAATAAACGGGCCTTTAAAAT